GGGGGGGGGGGGTTTGACCTATCTGCAGTAAGGAGCTCCCCCTGGTGGAAGCAACTCCACTAAAGCAATGGAACAGAAATATTGCTAGAAGTGACAATGGAAATCACCAGGGACAGTGGAAGTTACTACTTAGATTAGATTTCAAGAACATGGGGATAATTATCTGCTTATTTCACTGGTGAACTTTTTTTGAATCTCACAACAAGAAAAATTCATTTAAGTTGAACTACACATGTACCTACTCTCAAAGAATTTAAATTCTGATAGAGAGCATAAGTTATGAATACAAATCAGTACAAGGTAATGAGCATGCGTGTGGATGTGTGAATGTGGACCAGGTAAAAGGAACAAACTTAAGAGCTATGACTTACCCAGGAAAGAGAGGCATTACTTCAAGCTTGAGTAGATCCTGGAAGGCATCTGGGGAAAAAGTAGTTCTTCGGCTGAACCTTAAAAGACAAAATTTTAGTAAGAGAATATCTTAAGTAAAGACCTAAATGCTGGGAAGGATATACCATCTGGAATTCCAAGTAGACCAGTGAGGTTTTATAAAGGACGCAATTTGGGTGAAAGAATTAAAACCCCTCCTGAAAGAGAGAAGAGAGGTATTAGCGAGAGAAAGTTCCTAGGCAGAGGTAAACAGGAGGATATCAAACAAAAACAATTTTATTTTTTTCCCTTGGATGAAAAGAACACCACTAAAACCTCTGGAGGAAAATATAAAGAAAATTAAAATCCCTCTTCAGGATGCTGAGTTTGATGGCAGCCTGGGCAATTCAGTGAGACAAAAGGGACTGGTGATGTAACTCAGTGACAAAGCACTTGCCTAGCATGTATTAGGGCCTGGGTTCCATCCAAAAGGAGAAAAAGTCAGAGCAGGGGAAGGAAGGGGAAGAAAGAGGAAGGGATGAGCAAGAAGAGGGAGACAAAAGGAAGGAAGGAATGAGGGAAGGAAGGAGAAAAATTCCATGATGAACAGTCTAGATTACAAAATAGAGGATTCTGAATCAACAATATCTCATTGGAACATGTATAGGCATATCGGGTCTATTCTGTTTTACCAGAAGATATTGCCTAAAGAGCTAACGTTTTCATCTAAGTTTATTTTCCATTCTGTTTCTCCCTTCAGTATCCTTCACAATGAAATGTCAACACGCATTCTGAATCCACCTACCCCTTTTCATCTCCACTGCCATCAACTCTCTAGGTCAAGCAACCATCATTTGTCTCTTGGTACAGTAGAATCCTCCTGACTGGTCTCCCTATTCTGTCCCCTCCATGGGCCACAGAGCACAGAGCAATCAGATCAGCCAGGAATACTGGGGAGGCAGGTAAGTAACTCCAGTTTTATTTTCCATTTTTAGTTCTGAAATAATTATAGACTTACCAAAAAAGTTAAAAAAATAGTACAAAGAATCCCTATACACCTTTTCCAGATTCTCAAAATGTTAACATCCTACAAACCAGAGTATAGTTTTAGAAGTCAAGAATTAACATTCAATCAATACTATAATAGAATCTATGGATCATATATAATCCTCCAGTTGTCCTCCCAGTATCCTTTTCTAGGTCTAGGGTCACATCTGACTTCTTAGGCTCCTTTATCTGGAACAGGTCTTGGTCTTTCCTGTTTCATTGCTTTTCATTACTGTAACATTTTTAAAGTATACTGACTGGTTTCAACTTGGGGTTTGGCATTTCATCATGACTAATCTGGAGTATGTGTTCTGAAAAGAGTACTATGGACACATGGTGTTATGTCCTTCTCAATGCATCATATCAAGAGGCACATGATGTCAATTTGTCCATTAGGAGTGATGCTTACTTTTATCACTTGGTTAAGGTGGTGTCTGCCAGGTGTCTCTAGAGTAGGTACTCTTTTTGCCTTTTATAGTAATAAGCATTTTGTGGGCAGATACTATGAAACTACATAGTCTGTTTGTCTTCATGGTTTTGTCCATTAATTGCAGCATGCATTGATGATTCTTGCCTGAAACAACATTACCGTGGCAACTGTCAAATGATACATTTCTATTTCCATATTTTTTCTACATTAGTTAATTTGAATTCCACTGTAAAAAGTGCCTTCCTATCTTCCCTATTCGCTTATTCAGTTATTTCTTTATATTAGTATGGATTCTTATTTTATTCTGTGGCTAATAACCCATTACTATCATTATTTATTTTGTTGCTTAAAATGTTCTAGATTTCACCATTAAAAACCCTTTCAGATTAACCCCTGTGTCTTTTTGACATGTTTCCATTATTTCATGAGCATTTCCTTACTTTCTGGCAAAAGAAGACATTCCAAGCTTATCTTATACTCTCCCTGACCTCGCCCTAGAATCAATAATTTCTCCTAGGAGCCCAAATTCCTGTATTTGGACAAAGGAATTTTTAACACCAAGATACAGCACATGTTTAACATGTGCAAGGTCTAAGGTCCATTCCCCAGCACCAAAAGTAAATAAATGAGGGCCAGGGATTTAGCTCAGTGGCGTCATGCCTGCCTCGAAAGTGCAGGGTCCTGAGTTTGATCCCCGGAAGCAGAAAATAAATAAATATTTTTTAAAAACCCAGGCCGGGGATTTAGCTCAGCGGTTTAGTAGCCTGCCTTGCAAGCACAAGGACCAGAGTTCAATCCCTGGTACAAAAAAAAAACCCAAAAAACAAAAAAAACCCAAATCTGAGTACTAGGTGGGCCCACTGGCAGTGAGTTGTCACTGCTTCTGGGCCTTCTCAGCTGAGATAGAAAATAATATATACCTGGAGTACTACTCAGCCATAAAGAACAAGAAACTAGGAACATTTATAGCTAAATGGATGCATATTGAGGCTATACTCTTAAGTGAAATATATAGGACACACTTGAGCAAATACCGAATAATTTCTGAGGTGTGAAAACTAAAAGTGCAAATAAGGTTCAGATGGTATAATCGAGAGAGTGAAATAGGAAGAAAATGGCTAAAGGGGAGGTGAGAAAGGGAGGGGAAAGGAAATAAGGGAAAAGAAAAAAATGTGAAAAAATGGAAACAAAGTCTTTGTAAATAGGGGAGGGTGAAGAGGGTGAAGGGAGGGCAGGGGTACAGGGAAAAAATGAGAACCAAGATCTGTCAGAGGAGGCTTCCAAGAGGAGGTGACACTTGAACTAAACTGGAAGCATAAGTACAACTTAGCTAGATGAATGGAACTCCAACTAGCTATGTACTGATAGGTTTACAGGGTAGCATTTACCTTGATTTTTCTGGTTTCTCATGGTCCGGCCTTCACCTTAGCTTTTTAATATAAGAAATCCAATCTAGACTCATCTGAAATTGCAAATCCTGAAACATGCTAATACAGCTCAGGAAAGAATGAAGTTTATAAATCAGAGTATCAATTTGTTAATAATATCATAAGTGGGCTCTCCCCACAGCAATACCTACTGAGCTTTCTGCTGAGCCTAAAACAAGGGTCTGCAAGCATTTTCCTTAAAAGGCCAGAGTAAATAAGCTGGGCTTTGTGAGTTACAGACCATTCCTGTCACAACTATTAAATTCTGCTACTGTAGGACAAAAGCAATGATAGAAAATACGCAAACAAGTGTGTCTGTGTCCCAATAAAACGTGACTGACAAAAACAGACGGGATGGATTTGGTCCTCAGGCTGCAGTTGGTCAATGCTTGGCCTAGAATAAGGAGTAGTTACATGCTGCAAATGCTTAATTGCAGCCGGTTTTAGTGGTCTGATGTTCATTAATGCAACGAAAAAACACATATCTCCGGTATCACATCAGACAGCTCTTAGGCAAGGGTCTCTCTTTCCTTAACAGTGTTTAGATGGACACTCTTAACCTTTGCCTCTAAGGTCTTTCTAATTGCCAATCACCTACAAAATCCCATACTAGTTGAAAATTTTTGGTATAAGGAAGCTGTACTTACCAGTAGCAATGCAAAGGAATTGCCAGGGATATCTCTTGACCCTCTGCAGCTACTTCAGAGAGCTCCCTGATATTCATTACCTGCAGTGGGCAGGGAAGGAGGGATTAGTCTCCATTCTTACATGTGTTCCTCAGAAAGTGACAGATTTAACAACATGAATAACAACAAGAGGCACTGGCACGTTACGTCCCATGAGTAGATTTTTAAATTATATTCTTTCCATTTCACAAAAGCAGTATATGTTCATTGTCAAAAATGTAAAGTCAGCATACACGTATTCCCACCACACATAAATCATCACTATCAACATCTTAGTCTATATCTGTCCAAATGGTTCTAAGTACCCACAATACATATATGCATTTCTACCAAAATAATACTGTACATAATGTTTTGCAACTGCTTCTCAGTAAACAACTGTCTCTATTCCATGTAAAATCTCATCTCACCTAATACCCGCCATATTTCAAGTTCAAAATGTTCTATAAAGATAGATTGTTCAAATCAGGATCCAATCTCAGACCACATGTTGCATCTTAAATCTCTTTTCATTTAGACTAATATTCTTTTTCAGAACAAGTATTTCATTTCCTGCTATATCCCTTATGCCTTTAATAGTTCTTAGTATGTAAGCATAACTCAAAAAACTGTATACTCAATAAAAAAGAGGATTGGGGCATTCATTTAGAGTTTATCTCATTGATGCATGACCTATTATCACCATTTTATCAATAATGAAAATAAAAACCAGAGAAGTGAAGCGACTTCCCAAGGTCACACAGCAGGTATCTGTCAAATGCTTTCTGTTCCTCTTTTTGAGTCAGCAAACTTTTCTGTGAAGGCTAGATAGCTGGAATCTTAGAAATCATGGACCAAAAAGCAAAATTGAAGATATTATGTAGGTATTTACATAATGAAAAAAATATTTCCACAAAATTGAATGAAATTTAAAATATAATAATTGACCACAAAGTTTTGTAAAACAGGTCTAACGAAGAAAAGCAGGATAACATATTGCTTAATGAGGCTGAAAGTTACTGTGCCCTAGTAGCAAAATGATTTTAAGTGTTCATCTGAAAAGAAACATCTCTAGCCTCCAGGTCATTGTTTGCTAATCCTGGTACTATACCATGCTACTTGTTTGCAACTTTTTTTTCCACCTAAAAACATGAATGAAAATTCCTCTTCATTAACAGTTGTATTTGGATGCTGGCTTGTTGAAGCTATAGGAACCTAAAGTATCAAGGAGGAAAAAAATTCTCCAGCTACTTTTGATAGGTATAAATTGTCTTACTTCTGTGGGTATCTAACTGCTGAGCAAGCCTATCTTCTTTCATTTAGATTAATGGAAGGTAGCTGCACTGTTACAGTGGCTCTTATGATCAACCATACACTAATATTTAATGGGGCTGGACTATTTAAAAACCAGTGAATGTGAGACTAGTGACTGGCCCATGTCAACACTGAGTTTTTCTCTCTCAAATAAAAATATGCTATTTAGCCGGGCATGGTGGTGCATGCCTGAAATCCCAGCACTCAGGAGGCTGAGGCAGGAGGACCGCTGTGAGTTCGAGACCAGCCTGGGCTACACAGTGAGTTCCAGGTCAGTCTCAACTACATAGTGAGACCCTGTCTCAGTAAACAAAAAACAAAACAAACAAACAAAAATATGCCATTTAAATATCCAAAGAATTAAAAGAATAGAAAGTAGTTGCTTTGGGGGCACAGAGAATGGAGGGAGAAAATTAAAAGTAAATCTTGTAGATTTGACTTTAAAAACTATGGACAAGGATAATTTGATAAAGAGAAATAAAAAGAGGCATATTAAGAGTCTTTCTAGAAAAGACTTCTTAAATACTTTCCTCTGTTCCTGCTCCCCAGCTGCACTAAGCGTCCTCTGCTCTGCTCCCTCCAGCACCAGCATCGCCATCTTTGCCCCATCACGGCACTTACCCACACTCAGCTATGATCACTTGTTTCTCTGTCTCCTGATGGGAGACGTGCTTTCTGCAAGGAGACCATGTATTTCAGTTCCTAATTTTTATAACATTAAAAAGGCACTCTTTCAAAGTGAGCAAAACTAGATAAATCAAACACAACCAAAGATCTAGGCCTAGGCAAATTAACATCACAATAAAATCCCAAACAAAAAGACAGACAAAAGCCAGGCATGGTGGTTTATGCCTGCAATCCCAGCACTCTGGGAAGCTGACCCAGGAGGATCAAAAGTTCGAACCCAGCTTGGGGAACTTAGTGCCTTAGCAAGACCCCATCTCCTAAATAAAAATAAAATAAATTGGGTGGTAGTGATACTCAGGTTGAAGACTCTGGGTTCAATCTCATGACCCCACTCACCCACACACACAATAAAAAAAACTGTTGGTGAGATAGGGAGAAACTGGAATCCTCACATGTTTTCTGGTGGGAATAAAAGCAGTTCAGCCACTCTAGAAAACAGTTTGAAAGTTCTTCAAAGGGCCACTATGATTATATTAACAAATTGATTTCTAGCTCAGCGGTGCCGCCACCTGCCTCACAAGCTCAAGGACCAAAGTTCGATCCCCAGTACCAAAAAAAAAAAAAAAGCAAGTCATTGATCATGAAAGTTCTTTAAAAAGTTAAATATACAGTTACCATATGACTCAGCGATTCCACCCTTAAGTACAGATTTGAAAATATGTTCATACAAAAACTTGTATAGGAATGTTCACAGTAGGATAATCCATAATCAAAAGTGGAAACAACTCAATTGTCTATCAATTAATGAATGGAAAAACAAATTCGGTACATCCATATAATGAAATACTATTCAGCCAGAAAAAGGAATGGGGTACTGATGAACCTTGAAAATTCTGTTATGTGATACAAGCCAGGTATAAAAGACTATATGCTGAATATGTTCATTCCTTGATAATGCCCAGGAAAAGCAACTATCCAGAGACAGAAGGGAGATAAATAGATGCTTAGAGCTAAGGATGAGAAGGGTGATAATAGGCTTAAGAGGACTTGGGGTTCGGAGTGACAGAAATGTTCTAAAACTGGATTGCAGTGATGGTTGCACAGATCTATAAATGTATTAAAAATAACTATGCTTAAATAAGCAAATTTTAAAATATGTAAACATAAAGCTGGAAAATCCCTCAAATATATATACATATATATTTACATATATATATACACACATGTGTGTGTGTGTGCGTGCATGTGTGTGTGTATTTGTTTTGTTCTGTTTTGAGACAAGGTCTCACTATGTAGTTCAGGCTGGCCTCACCTCAAACTCGCAGCAATCCTCCTGCCTCAGCCTCCCAAGTGCTGGGATTACAGGCATGTGCCACCATGCCCAGCAATCTATTATATAATTCAGCTAGTCTCCAACTCACCCCACCACCCCACCCCAGATAAACCAACCCCATGAAGCACTTTGGTGAACAAAGTTTCTGACAATCTTGTTGGGTGAGGCTTGGGAGTCGTGCTGCTAGAAAAACAGAAGGCAACACCTCTCTGAGAAGTTTAAAGTCTTGAGGGCTACAACGTTTCCATCTGTGGGGCTCAGCCTGTGGCCTAGATGTTTCCTGGCTTCTCTGTCACTCTGTGCACCTAAAGCCCCTATGCCAAGCAAGAACTGCAGTCAGGTAACAGATTTACCTATTGGAACCCTGTTCTGGGCCAGGTGAACTGTTCTATTATAGCATGTCCATGAAAATGTTGACTGACTGAATGACTGGTGGGGGTGCTTATTAGGCACTTAGTGCTTATTGAGCACGGACGTCCAGCCAGATGAATCCAAAATGCAAAATCCAACCGAGCCCACTCCCACGGGGGCCTCCTGGGTAAAGCACATCTCTTCACAAGTGCGGTGGAAGGCGCAAGGGGATACAAGGGCTCCTCTCCGAGCTGCGGGAAAGGCTGGGGCAAAAGGCCTCCATCCTTGTCTTGCGGGAAGGGCAAAAACCCGCCACAGCGCCAGGGTGAGGCGTCTCCTCCCAGTGCTTCCTGATGCCCAGGAGACTCACGCGGCTGCGTCCCGACTTCAGTCGCTTTCGCTGCTGTGGCCTCACCCTCCAGCCCCTGCGGAGCTACGAGGCCAGCGGTGGAGAAAGGAAAGCTGCTGGAGCCAGCTGGGAAATGCCTGGCCGCTTCCCGCTCGCAGTGGTCTAGGGCTCGCTCCTGCCCGACCCGCTGACCCCACGACCTCGCCTGCGTAGCACCCTGGTCACGTGACTGCCGTGCCATAGTGCCATATCTCCCCCTGGTGGCCGGACGCTGGCAACGCAGGTTCTGCGGGCCTTAATGGAGCAGAGCCGAGCCCCGCCCCGCCCCACCGAGCCCAGCGCAGCCCAGCCGGGTGGAGTCAGTCAAACTCCTACCTCGTTGTGAGGTGGTGGAAATTCCTGCTCGGGTGGCACCGGGGCTGGCATCGAGAGGCCCAGAGCAGCTGCTCCAAGTCCGAACTGAAGTGGGTGGAGGCTTAAGATTTCCACCCTTTCCTCTTTCCTCCCCAGAGGGAAGAGGACCCTCAGAGTGACAGAATAGCCAGAGTATCTTGAACCAGGATCCCAGCTCTCATTTGCAAATAACAGAACAGAATAAGGAAATTTAAGGAATCTTTTTGTTGGTGTTCCTTAGAACATGTACCTGTAGCCAAAATAGTGTGAACTGATTATTACTTCTCTGAGCCTCAGTCTCCTATTATAGAAAGCAGAGATATTAATAGTGCCTACTTCACAAGGTGTTTATTAGGATTAAACCAAATAATCCACCTAAGAGATTTTAGCAGACTGGTCAAAGCTAGTTAGTTGTGTAATTTGTTTCTTAGGGCTTAGCAAATACCTAAGAGTAAGTGCTTTTTTCCTCATGATTAAAGGAAATGAAAGGATTTTGGCACCATAAGCTAAACACATACATAAAGTGAATTACTCATAAAAATATATGTATATAATAATTACAACCCTCCCTCCTCATGAGAAGTCATTCCTGACTCCCTGGATTATAGGGCTCTTCTCTGTATTCCATTCACCCTCTGGCTCACCTCTTATGCGACTCTCACCACAGCTGTTTTGTCTCCAATGAGCTACTGTACCTAACAGCAAGTCTAGTAAGATAAGGGTATCCTGCAGTGTTCTTGTGAGGTTGGCGTATGATGTATCTGAGGCTCGGGTGATTTCTTTTTTTTTTTCTTTTTTTTTTTTTTTT